GCTGAAAAATTTCTGCGAAATCACAAAGATGCCCAGAAAATAAACTAAGATAGGTAGTTAGGTAGGTATAAAGACAGACAGACAATTTCACATTGCTGAAATTCACTGCAGATTTAGTTTAAAAAGTACCTAGACTATGGGGGGAAATAGTGCGTGAATGAATGAAGTACCTGAATGAACGGCAAGATATATTAAATATGTGAGGAATAACCTCAGCATCAAGAGGCAGAATTAATGGAAAAGTTAGTTACAGCAGAGGATTGTGTTTCCTATTTACAGGATCACTGACTGGTGTATTTACTGCAAGCTGTTTAGTACATCTGTCAGAGTGTCTTACACTGTCTTTAGATCATCCCAAGTATTCATTACACAAGAACATGTTGCTACCTGGAGGGTTTGAAATCCAGTGAGAAAAATATCCAGCCAAGAAGGAAATGCTGGTTGATGAGCAGAAGAGCGAGCCAGTCAACCAGACAAAAAACAGTGGCCTACAAAAGCTTGAAAAGGAGAAACTAAGCTAAAGACTTAACTGGCAATTAGCTTGGCAAAGCTTCACGGAGCAAAAAGTCAAAACGGAGTTTCAGAAGGTAAACTGACCAGCATGAACCAAGTTGCTTCCTGCAAAGACTCACGTGTCTTTGCTCCTCCTTTATGTCCTATGAGAGGGGCCAATCACCTCCAAGGCTTACTTCCGAGTCGTCCCTTCTGTCTTAACTGTTCTTGCTTTCTGGCATCTGCGCATGCGCACACTGGGGACAAGGGGAGCCTATTCCTCTACCTCGCTGCTGTCTGACTCTGGAGGCTCCGGAGGCAGCACAGATGGCCCTGGCCCTCTCTCTGCCTCCGACGCAGAGCCCTCGTCCGAGCCTTTCCCAGACTTCAGGATTGGCCCATGTTCCTTCCCAACCTCCTCACTGTCCGATTCTGCTGCCAGCTCCGCAGGCCGCTGGCAGACCACAACAATAGAATGTATGCAGACAGCGGAATGAGATGGTCCGTTAAAGGAGGATAAATGTCTGCTCGCCCTTTATTCCAAAGTCTCTGCATTCTTCCAGCGTTTATGAGGGATCTTTATGCTTTGAAAATTCTTTTAAAGAAGTGCTTTGGCTCCTGTGTGAACGCAGCACCTGTCAGTTCCCCGTTAAACAATGCATACACATCTTTTCGTACTTCAGGGCAAGGATGCTTTTAAGAGCTGCCTCAAGCAAATTATGTTAATGATTGATTCACGAAAACAATGGCATCTTTTTTCCCCCTCCTGGGTCTTGCAGACATGTGATTGAAGCTAAGCAGGCTCACCAGAACTGCTCTGGGCTCCTATAAGATCCAAAATACTTATTTCTGAATTATGTACATTTTACTATATTGTTTGAATAAACATACAGAAAATGGCAGGTGTCTGCCAAATTCTACAATTCTCATTACTAGTTTTCAAATAAAGTGCCATGTATCGTTCGTTATGTTTTCCNTCAGTGGAGGGGGCTCCAGGCCGCACTCTCAATCCCCTCATATATACCGGCCAGGCAGTCTCCGCATACATACCCCACTATAACATTAAAAGCATATAATGGTACAATAAAATAGAAAATAAAATTAAATTAATTTAAAAACATGGGATCATTCAACTACATGCATACAACACACATTCCACATACAGAAAAGTTTGTGCAGATATTAGTATTAGTATTGTGCAAGCGGATTCATAAAGTTCATAAGGCAGATTCATAAAGTTCGAGTAGATGGAAACCAGCGGTGGTGTAGAGGGAGAGTGACTTGTCTTCCCTCCTTCCCTGTGCACTAGAACGGTGTAGCAAAGAGGGGCAAAAAGTCTGGAGTGGTTGAGGTGGCATCCCTGGGGCAGTGGCGGGCGGCAGTGGTAGCAATAGATGAGACCAAGATCGTAAGTCCAGAAGCTCTGAGGCTGCAAACAGAGGGAGCCAGATGACAAGAAGAAGAGGGCCCGTAGCTGCGAGGGCAAAGCGGAGGAGAGGCTGTGCCACAGAGAAGGCCAAGTAGAATGGAGCGGGGGGGGCACCCAAAAGGGCCGCGGCGGGGGCAAACAAAGCTAGCTGCCCGATCTCGTCCAGTGCCGTACCAGGCTGACCACCCCCGCTCTGGAGCGATGACAGTCCGATGCAAATCCAAGGGCTCCTCCCGGTCACAAAACGAGGCCAAAAGACGCCAGGACCGCTGCAGACCAACGGAACGGAGGGAGGGCCTGGGAGGGCCGCGGCGGCAAACAAAGCCAGCTGCCCGATCTCATCCAGCACCATCTGGGCTAACCACCCTCTCTGGAATGATGGTAGACCAATGCAAGTCCAAAGGCTCCTCCCGGTCAGGAAAATGAGGCCAAAGGATGCCAAGACTGTTGGAAACTGCCGAGAATGGCACAGTCAGCGCGACGACGCCATCCTCACTGCCAAACAGTATGAGAGCTGCCGAGGGTGGCCTTTCCCAGACTCCAGGACTGGCCCATGTTCCTTCCCAATCTCCTCACTGTTCGAATCTGCTGCCAGCTCTGCTGGCCACTGGCAGGCCACAACATTTAGCAACAGGAATTTTGGAGTCCATTGTGGTTGTAAGTCAAGGACTACACATGCACACACACACACACACACACACACAAATACATACACACATACATACACACCAGGGCTGGGTTCTGGCTCCTACTACTGCCAGTTTGCTCAGGAATGTGCTTCATGTGCGCCCTTTGCGCCCACATGCACACTTGATGCATGCTACATGTGCATGCGCAGTATTCAAGAAATGCTTATGCGAAGAAGCAAAAAACAACATGGTGGCACCTATGCCGCCTCCGAGAGAACCAGTTTGGGGGTGTGGCAGGCTGAGTTACTACCTACTCGGCCGAACCAGGCTGAACCAGTAGGAACCCACCTCTGATACATACACACCTGTTCTGTCCCCCCTTCTGAGCTCGTTAATAGACGACAGGCAGACAAACTTAAAAGGAACTCTCTTTATCAGTTCTCGGCTCAGACTGGCT